ATATTTACCATGTTATTCTAAAACAATTTACCGTCTTGAGAAAAAATTGTATATACATTACTGAAAAAATCCTTTGGTATTAAATTAAAGTAAGCCAACACAAATTTTTCACTTCATCGACTGAATTAATGTTCCTGCTGCTTTTTATCCTCCCTCCCTTGTTTTTTTTTAGGCTAAACGGGGTTTTTACCGAACCGGGGGAGAGGGTGTGGGATTTGAACTCGTAATTATTTTTCAAAATCAAACTTTAGTTATCAAACTTCAAGTTGGCGGGCAAGGCACGGTGCTGTGGTGCTGTGCACACGCGTTAGCCCGCTCGGGCAGCCCGCCTACATGCTCCTGCCACTTAATAAGTTGTAGAGATTGTGAAAAAAAATATGATAATCCGAAGGAGCCGAGTCAGGAGTACATGGTAGGTGAGGAATAATTTTCCGTCCAAAGTCCTTCAATTTTTCAATGGTTGTTTTGTAACATGGAGCCTTGCAATGTAATGGTGCGATAAAGTGCCTATTGATAAGTGATCGACGACGTTTTTCCTCCACTGCCGGCTTCAATCGATCCAGCTGATCACAGTAAGCATCTGTCATGATAGTATGGTTAAGATCAAGGAATTCATGATGAAGGATTAATGACTAATGAAGTTTTCTCCCTATATTTAAGCACGTTTCCGATAAGTTAAAGCAGCATTTTTTCCTTAATCGAATTCCCAAAACATAACATGACGGAAGCATTTTTTAGGGAGATCCATTTTAATTAAAATTTCCTCCAACAAAACATGATAAATAGAAGAGTATATAATACTATAATAAACAAAATATGTAAACACAATTCAATTGTGAGGAGAGATTAGTAATATCCCAGACAGATTTTTAAAAACCTACATTATTTATAGGATGACCTAGCAGAAATAATCTTTTTGAGCAATTTAAAGGCGTTCACCTAAACACTTTTCGTTAAAAACCTAAATTTCATTTTCGTAAATCTCAATCAAATCATATAAAATGTTTGTAATTATTTTTGTATTAACATAAATCTTTTTTTTTTTTTTTTAACTTTTATTATGATATTTACAACTGTATTAGTATGAATACATCTAGTAAATTTGTACAGAGAAATATTATTACATGAAACACGCTTGTTGAGAAACTACCCACTGGTAGCACTCTAAAACATAAATCTTAAAAAATAAAAAATGTGTTCCATCAATAATATCAGTGATAGTATCCGGTACTAAACGCTGTGTAATCAGGAGTACAACCATTCATTTCTGAAATTTGATCTTCGACACAATTTCTACAATGATTTCACAAGACGAGTCAAACTGTTTATTAGCAACAATTTCGCAGAGTCATTTAAATAACAAGCCAGCCTTAGCAATAAACAGAGCATAGTCAATTAAGGTCCATCCCACAGCTCGAACATAAATTTTACAGCTCTCAAAAATTTCCTGTCATAAAATGAGTAATTCATTAAGTTCAGTCATCATTTTCTACTTTAACTTATTTATTTTTTTAAAGATAGAATATAGTATCCGATAGTCTTAAATAATAAATGTTTATTCTCATCCGCTGGTGAAAAATGCTTCGCCAACATTTATGTGTTTAGAGCTCTTGGTGCAGTCACAGTTTTTGTTGCAGAAAGCGTTTGTTTGTTACTACTTACTAGCCTTAATAAACTTTTCGCTACCAATAAAAAAACTATCAGTATATGCGTTAAACTTTTCAAACCATCCACAGTTTAATTTCCCCCAAAGCTCCTGGCCTGAACTTACATCCTTATCTTAAAGCTCCTTCTCCGAAAAGATATCCTACTCCTCATCTATATATGTATTCACAATGACGTCATCATATCCTGGTATTCCTGGTATTTCGTGAACCTTGGAAATTTTCCAAGATAAAAGTGATATCAAAACCAAAAAATCCATTTGAATACACTTATTCCTATCCTCCTTTCTGCCTTTTACAAATTTTGGGCAAAATCATGGGAAAACTCGTCCTGAAACGCCTCCAAATCAAAACTGGTGATCTGGAATTATTAGATTATTATCTAGGATGTGATACTCCTAGATAATAATCAAATAATTCCAGATCACCATTTTGGATCCCGAACATCTCATACCATTATTCAGCAATGTCATCGTGTGGTAGACGTTATTTCCTTTGGGTTGGAGCGCGGATTTTACTGCATGGGGGTCATTCTCGACGTTGAACAGGCATTCGGTCGAGTCTGGAAACCACGGGACTGTTCTATATAATCCTTCAATTCCTTTCTTCGACATATTTCCTCATTTAGGATAAATCATAAATGGTCCTATTCATTGATTTCGTCTCAGTCCGCTGGTGTTCCTTCAGGTAGTATCGTCGGTCCCATTTTCTAAACAGTTTATAAAGTTGACATTCCTACTCATCTTAACACCATTATTTCCATTTATGCTGATGACACATGTGTGTTATCAGATAACAGAGAATCATTTATTACTTCCCAAACCCTAGGTAGGTGAACCTTCTGTCGGTCCAATTCAGTTTTAGCAGACGACCTAATAATAATGGTGTCGAAATTGAAGGATTAATTTTTTTCAACAAATCCCAGCAAATCACTTTTACTCTTCGCCGTAAACCTATGACTTCCTGTCCTACAGTACCTTTCAATAATACTCTACTTGTCCTTGTTGAACAGATCCGCTACATGGGACTTCATCTGTGCAAAACGTCTTACTGGGAATCCTCATAATAGACTAATACGACAAGAAACTGCCAAACTTTTCTGGATACTTCTAGAACACTTACTAGACAAACGCTCTAAACTTCCATTATACTATAACTCATTAACATAATATCTTAAACGACTCATTTACTTGATTATAGTAAGGCCATATTATATCCATGAGGGACTTATGGAGTCGAGTTTTCGGCCTCCACTAAAACATCAAATTCCTCTCGTATCCAATTCTTACAATCCAACATCCTTCGCAAGATCCTCAATTTTCTCTGTTATGTCACAAATAAAATTATCCAGAATGACCTAAATGTTCCGTATGTTACGGACTTGGCCCAATCCAAATACCTATCCTTCCATAGTAAACTTCATTATGATTTAAACTCCATTTGTCGATAAACCTCTAAGTTGTAAAAAACACATAGAGGCCTTTTTACACAAGGAGTAGTATATAAATAAAAACTTTTTCTTTTTTACTTTTACTATTTAACACACTTCATAATTGAAGAGACAAGTGGATAAAGTTGATAAGTAATATTATGAAAGTTGATAATGCTATATATATAAAGGGGTACAGTAATATATTTTTACATTCACAAAATATATAGTTTATATTGTTATTGAGGTGCCCGTTGACGATATAAAACTGCCTTCTAATGAATTTAGGTTAATTGAATTAATTTTTTTTTTTTTAATAAAAACATAAAAGTATCACCTTTATCGACTTGATCATTCAATTGATAAAAATTAAACACGTATGCTTAGAGCCTGCGTTGTTGGAGGAACGACATTCTCATGTGGATAGGATCAAGGTGGCTGTCAACAGTAAACAATCGAAAGAGGCATGTGTAAAGGATGCGTTCCAATCTTATCTGTGCCTATTGTCATCGGTGTGGAACCGTAGGCGAACCTTCTGTCTGTCCAATTCGGTTTTAGCAGACGACCTAAGAAGATAATTCGATATTTTTTAAGAAATGTATTATAATATGTATGTTATAAAACTCTGAAATTATTCCGAAAGATAGAATGAACCATTAAAACATTAAAAAACAAGTGAACATTTTAACCTTGGGTCATAGTGAAGTCAGTGTGACCCTAAGACAAAAACATTTGAAGTTTTAAGTGTAAACAAGAATTGTACATGCTTAAAGAATCATGTTTCGCAATATACACGTTCTATTCAACATAACAAGATTGGCCCAGCCCATTTGTGCAAATGCTCTTACAAACATTTTAGTAGATAATAATAACTTGTGTTGACGTCGTTCTTCACATTTACGATTTTTTATCCATGAATAATTTAAAATTAATTAACGAATTACAATCAATATGTCTATTGTCTTAGGCCAAAACTATTTAAATCGAAAAATGGTTCTAACGAGCACTAGCGGATCCAGGATTTAATTATTTTTTTTTTTTTGGATAGGGGATGGGGATTCAGCCCGAAAGTTTTTTTTTCATATATATTATGATTATTATTTTGAAAAAAATAAATAAAGATACTAACTGTCTATATGAATTGATGTTTAAATGATTCTTGAAGTCCTATTAAATGTAATTACACGAACAATAATACTTTAAGAGATAATTTTTTAATATTTTTTTTTCCATAAAACAGGATTACTTTTTATCATTTTGGGGAGAGGAAGGAGGCTTAAGTCCGAAAGCTCACTCACTCCCCCCTCCTAGATTCGCCTGTACTCACGAGTCCTGAAAATTGAGATCATCTTCTAAGGGTTATTAACACCGAGAAGAACTTAGTAACCTACTATACTAAAAATTGTTTGCGGTGTTTAGAATTCTTACCATTTTTCGACTCAACTAGTTATGAATATATTTATAACATAGAAATATTTATTGTAATTCGCTAATTAATTTTAAATTAGTTTTGGATAAATAATCTTAAATGAGAAGAAAGAGGTCAAAACACAAACAATGAACATAATTTAGAATTTTATTTTTTAGTTTTTAGACATGTAATATTCTGTCACGGGGATAGTAATTATATTGATAAATGACACATTCACACCGTATGCACAAAAAAAAAATAAAATTAACAAAAGTAAAATAACAACTAAATAATAATAATAAATAAAAACTATGTACAATAAGAAAAAATAAAATAACCTAAATATAAGTAAATTAAAAACATAAAAATACAGTCATACCTATATACAATATATAATTTAGAATTAATCTCATTATATGTAATTATTATAAGTAATCATAAAGTTATACATTTAACAAAATGAAACAAGTTGATAGTTGACATAATGTGAACTCACCACTCCTGTTATGCAAGAGGTCCTCATACCAGTCCGTCACCAACCGCGCCATCCTTTCGTCCGTCTAAAAAAATAAAAAAAATATCTTCTAGCTTCCATTGGCAAAAAAATAATAATAAATAATAAAATGAAAAAGCAAGACTCACTCATTGGAAATTTAAATAACAGTTCATAAGAAAAATAATATTAAAACAAATGAGTAAAAAATCTAATAAGCAGTATCACAGCTAAACACTGGTTTGATTTCGAAGTTTTATTTTTTGTTCTTTAGATAATGTAATAACAATTCAAAAGATTATATATAAGATTTATAACAAAATGTTTACTTTTTGAGAAACCAAAAAAAAAAAAAAAAAAAAAAAAAAAAAAAAAAAAAAAAAAAAAAAAAAAAAGATTCTATGAAGTTAACAACAACTACGAACATTGAAAGGACTTGAGTAGAAAATAATATTAAAGTTTCAACAAAATCGTTAGAGTTGTTTTGGCTCTGCAGTCTACATAAAAAACAGTTATTCCGTTATTGCACAGCCCTATTAAGCAGGGAGAACCCGATTTGTTTGACAGGCATCGGTGGGCAAATGACTGCAAACAAAAAAGAAACAACAAAATGCGTTTTTCGGACTCAGGGAGGTTGTGAAACGTAAAGATCTTTTGAAAACCGCACATCGAAAATTTGACTCGATTACAATACTTCCCGTATTCAGGGAGAGAAAAGTAAAAACAAATAAATACATCTGAACGAATATACCTTATATTGTATTTGACGTAATATTTAATATTCTATTTGGTTATTAATAACAAAAAAACATTAATTTACATCCGTAGCTCTCAGTAGTGGAGGAGAAAGGGGGAAGAGAGAGTGCATTGCATACATTTTTTATACTGTGCATTTTTCAATTGAAAAATGCGTGTTTTAATCAAATTTTTTCGAGTTTCATTGTTAATCTTATAATTATCTTATAATAATTAATTAGCAAATTATTACATTATAAATACTTAAGTGCAATCGTGGAAACAAAAAAAAAAAAAAAAAAAAAACAGTTAAGCTTAGGAAAATAAAAATTTAATTTTAAAAAATCACTTGGGGTCAAACAGATGAATTTTTCGCTAATTGTAGAACACTTATTATTATTATGTATAACACTTATTTATATCTTGTATTTATATATCATATTTATTGTACTACATAATAATTGACCACTACAGTAATTGATATTTTTTAAATTCGTTATTATAAGATTGAACAAGCGTGGGATGAACTATTTAACCTTCTTGGTCTGTACGATTAATAATAAAAAAAAAATAAAGAAAGAAATCCAATGTGAATGAAGATTGAACACATAATAGAATTGCTTTTTAACGAGAGGCTCGCAATTAGATGAGTTGCATTATTATTTTCTTTAATTAATATAATATATTATTTCCTTGGAAATTTATACTTAAATATGCAACTAAAATTATATTGTAATAATTGACAAGTAGTATGGTAGTGTATACAGAGTCCATATCTGATTATAATATTATCATGATTTTATTGAATTTAAACTTTAAGTTTTAGTACATAAATGTCAAAAATAATAACGTAAAATAAATAACAAAGGCTTTAAAACAATTTTCCTTTACAATGTTCGTCAAGATCCAAATCGACTTATCAACTTCTCCAATCTGATTAGAGTATCTATGTACACTAAATGCAAACATTCGTCACAACTTCATTATGTATTCCTCCATACGCAGCGGATACTGTATCTATTGCGGCCAATGACGCACTGCTTTTATGTATCTCAGGGGCAGAGCATCCAAGCAACTAGATATCAAATGCATTGTAACATTTCTTACTAATACAATCAGAAAAGTAGAAATAAAGAACTCTAAAGTACTCAAAGGCCTTTTTATATTATAACTTAGACAATTAAAAACAAATAAAGTATCTGGCTAGCTCAAAAATCGAAGAAAGAAAATAAAATAATCCAGTTTTGTGATAATACACCCGTTCGACCATCCATTTGGATTAGATCATTTGATTAGATTCTGACTAAAAAGGACACTTCAGAATAAAAGTGACACAACTATGCGAAGCAGAAACGAAAATATTACAGAAGATTACTGCCAATCATGGCGGTAAACAAAACCAACAACTCAGCAAAAAATCTATCTAAGGAAATCCCAAGGCCTATTCAAGATTCCGAAAATAACTCTGAGAGTGCTTTTAACATTTTATAATTCCGAGAACACTAAACTTTTATGAGACCTCGTTTGGTGAAAATTGAACATTGCCACTTTGGGAGCTGATGTCCTGAGTCAGCTAAGTCAGAAGGGAATAATCATAATCAAAATAACGTCTTTGCAACGCACATTAATGTGCGAATGATGAAATAGGTACGATGGGAAAAGGGTAACTAAACGTTAATAAAATTTTAAGTCCAAGATATATACTGCTCAAAAAGAATATGGGAATTGTTAGTTATGTACGATTTATTTTCGCTAGTATTGTAATCATTTTGTAAAATTTAATAATTTCTGTAACATCCTCTGTCGAGAACAGAATGGCCGTTGGGACGTGGGTCTCGGAGTGCTGGTTCTGAACGTTTTGGGTTCGATTCCTACCTGGATCGGTTAATTTTCATATCTCGGGGGCCCCGGGAAATGGTTCTTCATATTCCCACTCTGGTAAGTACGCGGTGGCAACTTTAAGGTAGTCATCAAGGGTTGAGAAAAAGGACTAGTTCCCCCCACCAAGTATCAGTAATACCCTCTTCTACGCACTACCTGTCGGGACCTATTGAGCATATCTAGAGGAATTTCATACCATAATACTGCTCTCAGTTGCTGGAGGGTAAGCTGCAAATGGTGGTCAAAAAGTTTTCTCTGCAGTGCATCCCGCATGTGCTCTATGGGATTGATATGTTGAGACAATACGGAAAGGGGCAGATGTGAAATGTTCATATTTTCAAGACATTGATGAAAAACGTTCCCTATATGAGGTCGCGTATTGCTGTCAAAAAAATGGAAATCTGTGCCAATTATGACACCGGTTTAAGGAATGTACTCTATAATGTCTTGAGCATAGCCAACCGCAATGAAATTGCCTTCCACAATATGGAGTAGAGTTCGTCCTCCTACATAGATTGCGTCTCTAGACTGCTGATTGTCGGAAGCACGAACTTTGGTCGTGTACCCATCTCCTGTTCTCGGTAGACTCTTCGGCGAATATGATCGCTATAAATAGAGAACCGCGACGTGTCTTAGTATCCTCATTTAGGAGTTGCTGCCGACGCACTGTTGCTGCAATTCGTTTAAAAAGGATATAAGATAACGGACCAACATTCCAAAAACGTTTATGAATGACAGAACATTCAACACCTCATTTAGGCTCTGCCGGGTACTGCGAAAAGGGTTGCCAATATTTCTGTCATCTCTAGGTGCCAGATCTTCTATTCATATTTCCGATTCTGCTAAATATGGCCACTTTCTGGGAGGCGCTAACTGCATCGCCTGTATACTATTGAGAAACTACTACCAGTATTGATAAAAGTCAAAAACAACTGTTGTTTTACAAAATGAGTATTCTTCAGTTAATAATTTATTGAAAATATACTTGTTAACTTTTTATGTTTACCAATAAATAAGAGAATCCTTAACAAAAAACAAAGTGTATATTAATTAAAACGAATAAAATAAGCATCAAATAGAAATATTTCTAATATTACCTCCACTACATAATGGTAAAAAGAAGAAACATATTTTTTTAAATATTTTCCTTCGTGGAGCGAGTTCAAATTTCGTTTGAGAACTAAAGAAATCTTTCCTTAAGAACAGGAGGCCTCTGGCGATATGATAGTGATATGAAAATGCCATATCGGTCTCTTATAAGTTTATACTTTTATGTCATGCAGATTATTTATAACAGGGAGCGGATTTACATATTTTCATATTTTATTTTTCTAAACCTCAGCAATTTTTTTTTATTTTCATACATCTAAAAAGTAAATAAAGCATCTTTTATATTACATATCAGTAGATATTTGGAAGATGATACAAGTTTGCATTTTTCTACATAATTAGAATAGTTCTGAATATTCAATCAACAAAGAAATTTCACATTTAAAATTGAAAGAAAATAGAAGGAAAGTTCTAAAGATTGAAAGTATTTTAGCAAGTAAAAAAGGAAAAGGGATTTCTGTGAATTTTGGAGTAGGTAAGTTGCCCACACCTCAAGTGTCTGAGTCATAAAATCAATCTATTTATACATTTTTAAAACTAAAATTCAGAGAAATTTTGTTTTAACTAGAGAAATAATTAGGATATTTTGTTCCATCTGTAGAAATTTTAGAGAATATGTCCTTTCCCCCAGACTCAAAAAAAAAAAATTGTGGCACCGTCTATATTTATTAATTCATTTTTCAGTACCGGTTCAAATTAATTTATCAAAACTTAAATACATTAATCTGTACAAAGTTTGAAGGTTATTTTACTTATAATTCCGCTTCTTAAATTACTTTCAAATAAAATATATGCGATTTATTTTTGCCTGTGCTTTGCTCAGATTTTCAAATTATTATATACCAATATATTATTTGTGCAGAATAATAAAAAATATTGCCGATGATATTAAATGTGTTATTATGTATCATAAATTACAAAAAACAAAAGTTCTTACGGTTAAGTAAGCCAAGTAAATTTTTTTTTATGATAAGTAAGTTAGGTTCCTTTTTAATGTACTTAAACCACGCCAACAAATTTGAATTTCATTCCTTTTTAAATAACAAATAAAAGAAAACTTTCAAAAACATTTTTATATATTTGGTTTTACCGAGTTTATGCACTTGTTTGTACCATTTAGTGTAGCAAAAATCCCTAATTCTTTTTCAGTGTGAATCGGTGGAGTCGATCAGAAAAACGAATATCAACTCTGTTTATACTTTAAAAAATATTTATAACCCCCGCCCCCAATACTTTGACGGATGGGTTCAATTCGTTACCATACTATTATATCTATGTGCCAAATATAATATTTAATCTAAACCGAGCCAGTGTCCAGAGATGATTTCACTTTTGATGTGA